AGAATCAAAACAGGTTGGATGTAAATAGATCAACAAAAGGAAACGTCTGAATATATATATATATATATATATAAGGAAGTCAACCTCTGGATATATATTCACTTTGTATGGAGGCACAGTTAGCTGGAAAGCGTATTTTCAAAACATATGACAACTACAGAGGCAATTAGGACAGGACTGTGGCTCAAATGTTTGATTTGAGAGCTACAAGGAAGGAATAAAGGATTAACAATTTTATACTTACACCTAATGAAAAATCCTATTATTCATGAAAGGTCTAAGCACATTGACATTAAGTACATTTTATCAGAGATGTAACTGCAAAGACAAAGATTGAAGTCCAGAAAATTGATAAACTAGAAAATCGTGCAGATGCCTTGATAATTGTATTGTCTACTACTAAGTTCCAGTTATATGTGATCTTATTTCAAGTTCATCACATTCATGAGCTGCACGCTCCTTGTTGGCACCAGATTTTCGAGATTAGTTTGAAGAATTGGGTTTCTTGCTCTATAAGATTGTCATTGAGTTTATTCCATGTGTTTTGTTGGGAAATTTTATATAGTCCGAATTTATAGAGATTTATTTAAGTAGGACATTATTTATTTGTTTGTATTTTTATTAGATTAGGAAAGATATTGTAAAGATTGTTCCTTATCTAATTTAGGTTGTAGTCAATAGTGATCATGAGCGATTATATTTCCTTAGCATTGATTTCTTAGAACTCAAGCTAGGTTTAAGGTGGTGAATTTAATTCGTGCCTATAAAACCCCTCAACATGAGATGAGTCTCTTGAAGCTTTAATAAAAAATCTCAACATAAATTGTTTGAAGGATGCAACATGTGCTGCAGCCCTGCACGTCAGGCGTGGCCACAATACCCGTTTCTTCTACCAAGTTATAAAGAAGATTGGCGTTTTGGGAGAAGTTCTTAAATGATCTCGAAAGAGGTCGATCCGTTCAAGAGGGCGGATGTGGAGGACTGGTATGAAGATCAACAAGTTCGAGTCGTATGCCAGAAGGGCATATAACATAAAGAGGGAGTCTTCAGTGTTTTTATTAAGTCCAATTATTCTACACTTAATTATGAACTAGTGAAATCTTATTTGCAGGTTATCGTCAGGAATGTATAGTACATTTGTATTCGGACCACATTAAATTCTTATGTCTTTACCAAGCATTCAAGCATCCAGTTAATTTTTGTCGTCACCAAAAATTACTGTTGCAAATATTAATCTATCTCAACAGCAGAATTAGACTAGACAAATAAATCAACAATATTCTTCTAGAATAGAGCATGGGAAAATGGTCCAGGTGTTAAGTCATGGTGGAGAATTGTTAGCTATGGTTCAGACTTATGGTTAAACTAACTAGATATCTGATCTACTCAAGTCAACTGAAGTGAGAGCATCTCATTCAACTAAAGAATGAACATTTGCTGAGCCGGACAAGTTAGTTAGAGCTCACAGATTCACTTGATTTTGCACTTGGTTGAGAGGAGTTGAGCTGGCTCACTCTACTTTTATAAACTATTTAAATTATTTTGCAATTATTTCATCCAATGAACGTGGAAATATATTAAGAATAATATTATGGTTTAAATTTTAAAATATAAAATAATAAATGTTAAGGGGTAAGTGTTGCAAATGATTCTTTTAGTGAATAAGTGTTACATAGGGTATACTCCGTAATATAATAATGAAAAACGGAGAGATGAGGTGGTAAATTTGAACTCTTATTGAGCTTTATGTAGTGAGTGATTTATTCAAAGAATTGGTGGTGGATTAAGAAATATAGATATTTGTGAGTATATCTATGTAAAGAAACTAGCTTAGGTAATAGGAATGTAATGATCCTATCCATTAGTAGTGCACAAAGTAGGCATAAAACCACAATGAACCAACCCCCCAAAACAGTTTAATTATTAAGGAATCAAATCATCACATTTGTTTATTATGATTAGTGGATGCACTGAAAAATATAGCTATCATCCAAAAAGTTTCAATTTAGGTGTTCTCCTATTAATTAATTAAATCTCCGGGCCACAGTTTGATTCAATTCCACTGCGTATGCTTGGAAAAATAAAAAGAAAAGAAAAAAAAAAAATTTGGTAGTGCGGGCTGGTCCCAATTCGAGTAGTGTATAAATAAGAGATTCTTTGCAAGGATTTATACACACGTACATATATAGTTAGCGGATTTCATTACAAGATCATATATACGATGATGATAGGTAGACGGAGTTACAATGTGTTTATTATTATGTCCACCAAATTGATATTTTTGGTTGCAGCAGCATCACTAGCCCAAGGCGACAACGACGGATATATCTGCTCTAGAGCTACCTACTACGGAAGCCCTGATTGCATTGGGAATCCATGTATATATGTTAACTCTTTTTTTTTTTTTTTTTCTACTTAAATCTTTTTTACTATACTTTGATCATTGTATAATATTGTTAATTGAAATATATACTGTTGCAAATGGAGCTTGTGGGTATGGAGAATATGGGAGGACAGTTTACAATGGTGAGGTGAGTGGTGTCTCAAGACTTTACAAGAATGGAAGTGGCTGTGGTGCCTGCTATCAGGTAACAATATTATTTATATATCTACTTATTAATTCCCTCTTTCAACTACTTTAGTGACCAACCTTAACAATATTCAAACGTCTGTAAGGGTAAAATCGACATTACTTGGAATTAAAAAAATTCTATGAAAAATCATTAAATACTTGTATAAGCTTTTGCAACTTTTAATTAAAATCATCCAAAAAAAAAAAAAAAACTTTGAATTGATATGGTGAATGAATGTGATTAGGTGAGGTGTAAAATCCCAACACACTGCAGTGAAGAGGGAACAAAGATAGTGGTGACAGATTACGGTGAGGGTCACGAAACGGACTTCATTCTGAGCGCACGTGCCTACTCCAATTTGGCTCTCCCTAATCTTGCTCCTCAGCTCTTAGCCTACGGTGTTATTGACGTCGAGTATAAACGAGTCCCTTGTACATATGCCTCTAATCTTGTTATCAAAGTCCACCACCACAGCCATTTCCCTACCTATTTCGCCATTCTACCTATTTATCAAGCTGGTACATATGATATCACCGATGTTCAACTCTGGCTGGTATGTACATCTCTTAATTCATTACCTGTAATGTTAGATGCCGTTTCAAATTTAGTAATAACGTTTGACTTTAAACGTGATTTTGACCATTTTGTACTCTGATTTTACCAAAATTCATAACACAAAAACTATATTCGTTCGAGTTGGCTTTCTAGTCCAACTCGAATCAGTTAGATTGGATGTCGCGTCAAAAAATCATGCATAAATCAGTTATATTTTGAATTTCACATAAGTCAAAACATCAAAGTTGTGGCAGTGTTCATACATACATATAAATTATATTGAAATTTCTTATTATTAATTAAATTAATGAATTAATTTGATGGATAAATAGGAGTATTGCAAAGAATGGAGGGGGATGCGAAGGGTATACGGAACAGTATGGGACATGGAAAATCCACCAATAGGGATGCCTATAAACATGAGATTCCAATTAGTGAGCGGTGGAGCTGCTAATGCTAATGCTGAAGTTAAGTGGTTGCAGATTGCAAACGTTATTCCCACTGATTGGAAGGCTGGAGTTGCATACGACACTGGCTTTCAACTTTAATTTATTATTATTCAATTTAATTCTACCTTCTTCATGTATCCTACCCACAAATAATTATTAATTCGGCCTCCACTTGTGCTTATATATAAATAATTATGGCCGTCTTGATATCAATAAATATTCTTCATTTAGATTATTTAATTATTTATACATGCTACCACCTTTTAATTAATTTCCCCAAAAGCTACATCTCACATTCTTACCTAGCAACCACACAACCACCACCAAAGCAACGAGTGCATAAAATTATAAAAAAAATAGTACTTTATTCCAAATACTACCCCTATAAAAGTCGCAAGTGCAGTTTTTCCTCCAGTGATATCCAAAATAAAAAAAAACTAGCAAACCAGGGAGGTTTTTGCAAAAAGAAAAGCCCCAACTCTTAAACATGTGGATTTTAAAACTAATGAACCAAATTGAATTTATGAAAATTTTCAGAAACTTACAGGGGTTAAATTGCAATTTTTCAACTTAATTAATATCGTTATGAATTTTAGAAGCCCGCATGCTGAATATTTCATGACAGTAGCAGATTTTGGATATTGCGACTCGGAATAGTAATAACAACCATGATATCAAATAATGGGTGCAATAATAAACATATAGGGGTCTTTACAAATAAGTCCATGAATGGGTACTTGTTCATAAAGAGATCCAGACAATAAACTCCTTTACCAATAAGTCCACATATGGTCCAGATTTTTGTAAAGGACTAAAATAACCCCTCATACTTTAATATGCTCAAATTTCATCCTTAACTTAATTTAACTTCAATTTGACCCCAAATTTCACAAATTATTCAATTTTGACCCAATTTTTTTTTTCAATTTTTTTTTTAAATTTGTTTTTTCCCGCCGGATTCCAGTGTTGGCCGGCGTGACTTTTCAAAATTTTTTTTTTTCTTCTTCTGGATTTTTTCGCCGGATTCTGGCGTTGAATTTTTTTTTTCTTTTCTTTCTTTCTGTAACTTTTTTTTTCCGTTTAAACAACAATATTGCTGTGATTGATTGTAATATTAACTATATTACTGTTAAACACAGTAAAATTAACTAAATTACAGTTTAACACAGTAATATTGCTATATTAATCTCTAACATAGTAATATTAACACAACAAAACTCATTATTATTGTGTAATAGAGTAATATTACTATGTTGACCGTTCAACAAATGTGAACATAATATAAAGCCAAAAGAATTAATATTACTGTGAGTGACAGTAATATTACTATAACAACAGTAATATTACCGTCAACCACAGTAATATTACAATAATAGACAATAATATTATTACGTTACTCCGTGAATAACTCAAACAAACAAAAAATTCCAAACAAAATAATAATATTGATGTGGTTGACAGCAATATTACTATAACAACAGTAATATTACCGTAAACCACAGCAATATTATTGTGTTAACAGTAATATTATTACGTTACTCCGTGAATAACTCAAACAAAACCAAAAAACCCAAAAAAATAATAATATTGATGTTGTTGACAGTAATATTATTGTGTTTACAGTTATTTTACTGTCAACGACAGTAATATAATTACGTTGACTTGTCAACAAATCAAACAAAATAAAAAAAAATAACAGAAATATAAAATAATAATATTACGTTAATTTACTGTCAACGACAGAACAATTACATAAATGTATTGTCAACGGCAGTACAATTACGTTAATTAACTGTCATTGACAGTATAATTACCTTAATTTACTGTCAGTGACAGCACAATTACGTTCAACGTTTAGCGGCAGACGTAAAAAAAAACAAACAAACAAAAAAAAAACAAAAAAAATAAAAAAATACTAAAAGAAGTCAACGCCGGAGACCGCCGGTCAACGCCAGAAACCGGCGAAAAAATCCGAAAGAAAGAAAAAAAATAAAATAAAAAAATCGAAAAGTCAACGTCGGAGACCGGCGTTGACCGCCGGTCAACGCCGGAATCCAGCGGCAAAACGCCCTACTCTTGCCATCCGGGTGAAACCAAAATGTATCAAGACTTGAAGAAGTTGTATTGGTGGCCAGGCATGAAAAAGGATAAAGCCAAATACGTATTCGAATGCCTAATTTGTCAACAAATCAAAACGGAACACCAAAGGCTCGGTGGACTTCTACAATCCAACCTTATTCCCGAATGGAAATGGAAAAGAGTAAGGATGGACTTTGTTCAAGGTTTCCCGAAGACTCTTAAAGGATCTGATTCAATATGGGTTATAGTCGATCGCCTAACTATATCCATCTCATAAGTGAGGGATTTGATTGAGGATTTGAAAGCCCTAAGGGACAGGGAGAGAAAATTCTAACCACTTGGCTACTTCAATTGTTTTACCTCTTAGCAGGAATATTTCATCAAGTTGAGTGAAAACTGCATAGCAAACAATTTCTTTTTAATACAATTGTCATGCAACATACATTCTCAGTATATCCAAATGCAGCCGCCCATGTACGAAAACATCAAAAGAGAAATTAGACATGTAACATCGCATATAATAGAGAAATAATTTATAAAAACTATTATAAAACAATGGCAGAAATTAAAAAAACACCAACGTTATTATACAAAGTAAATAAAGGAAATCGATCTCAAGAAATTTTACCTCCTTCCACAAACTATCGGGGCCAGTGCAGCCAAAGACTACCGCTGCATGTCAGATAGAATCTAAAGGAGTTCAATATTTTCGGCAAAATATCCAATCAAAAACAAAAGAGAATCGGAGATATTAAACTACAAAAAATAGTTTAAAAAAAAATATTGTACAAACTTTTTCTTCATAGATTCTAGAACTGATACACAGAAGAATACCCTTCGTGAGTTGCATACCATATCTAGTGCATGGTTTACTCTGAATCAACATCCAATCCAAACAAACAATGTAAATTTAAAAAAAAAATTCAAGAAAGAAAGTGCTAACATTTCCCCACGGATTGTAGAAGTGAAACATAGAAGAATACCCTTCTCGCCTTACATACTTTAGTTGCCATGTAGGATTGATGTTAGGTACATATTCAATCGAAAAAAGAATTATGAGTTTACATGCAGAGAAAGGGAGTAAGAAGATGAATCTTGCCTTGCATTTCAAAGAAAGTGAAAAATAGAAGAAACGTCAAATCAATATTAATTTAGATTCCAAATATGTTGGAATTCACGATTATGATTAATGAAAAAATCAAGAACTCACATAATCTCCGCATCTTGAAGCAATTCATAGATAAGCAAATCATCCATCATCCAGTCTTATGTGGAGAACTTCTCCAAGCCATATTCCTTTTAGAGCCTGTAAAGCCAAATCCAGTGGTAATAATTGAACTTCTCATCTACAAATTAAGTCTTATTTATTTTCAGAAGATAACACATGAATAAATAATAGGTAATTAATATTGATCCTCACCTATAGTTAAGCCAATCAATTTCCTTTAATTGTAAGTTCCTGTATTTGAGGTTATTGATCAACAATTTATGACAATATATTAGTTCAATATCTCTGTCAGTTTGCCATGTGCATCAGAAGAGTACGAGAGAAGCATAATATGTGCAGATGACGAAGGGAAAAATGAATTTAGAGATGTTTTGGAACACTGGAATATGTGCATATGGGAACAATGATGAACATAAATAAAAAAAAAAAGAGGGAAAAAATAGCAGTTAAACGTGAGAACTGCTCCATGTTCGGTCAGTTATTTAACTTACATCGGTTAGTTCAACGTGAGAAAGCGATCGTGTTATAGTGTGCATTTTTTTTTCTTCTTCTGGCATGATACATAATATAAGAATGATAAATACAAGATATTAAATATTGTAAAATATTCTTATTGTATGTATTTCTTTGATAATGAGGAGCTATATATACAATTGAGAAATTGTTCAAACGGCTACAATCTACATAATAATGGAAACTATATCCATCTCATAAGTGAGGGATTTGATTGAGGATTTCCCGATAATCAAGGATATGCCTTTGATTTTGATTCCGTATTATTTTCCTTATTATGCCCCCTGAAGATGGAGTTCAAACAATGAACACCAATCTTGTTCCGCAAATCTTCAAGTCGGAGGCCTGTGAGTGGTTTTGTTAAGGCATCAGCGAGTTGATCTTTGGACGATGCCAAGTTCATGAAGTAACTATTCTATCCAAGAAATTTCTAAAGTTGTGGATGGGACCGCACGATATTCCGCTTCTGTTGATGACCGGGCAACTGGCCGTTGTTTCTTAGAGCTCCACGATATTGCATTCGATCCGAGAAAGTCTACATAGGCGCTAGTGGTAGTGCGATCATCAACGTTGCCAGCCCAATCGGCATCCGAGAATGCATGTAGAGATAGGGGAGAGTCTCGCTGAAGAAGAAGTCCGTGATGGAGAGTACCTTGTAGGTATCTTAGTAAGCATTTGACGGCAAACCAATGTCGAGTGGTTGGCCTGTGCATGAATTGAGATAATTTATTAACTACAAACGCTACGTCTGGCCGTGTGAAAGATAAGTATTGCAAGCCACCAACAATAAATCTATATTTTGTGGCATCTGTAAGGGAGGTTCCATCATTAAGTGCTGTAATGTGATTAGGAGAAATAAGAGAATTAACGTCTTTGGCATTTTCCATCTTTACTTTTACTAAAAGATCATGGATGCATTTTTGTTGGGAGAGAAACACACCATCTGTAGTTGTAATGACATCTACTCCAAGAAAAGAAAATATGATATGGAACCAAGATCTTTGACGGAAAATCTTGTTGATAAAATCTTGAATATGGTCTGCATTTGTACCTGTAACAATTAAGTCATCCACATTAACTAAAACAAAAATGGTCAGATGAGTGCGTTTATAAATAAATAGTGAAGTATCTGCCTCTGAGTTTATAAATCTACGAGAAATGAGAAATTGTTTCAACTCGTTATACCAAGCTCGATGGGCTTGCTTAAGATCGTACAATGCTTTATTGAGACGACATACATGATGAGGACGCTGCGGGTCAACAAATCAATATGGTTGTGTCATGAAAACATTTTCGTGAAGCATACCATGGAGAAAAGCATTATTAACGTCTAGTTGCCGAAGAGGCCAATCATTAGTTATAGCAAGCGTGATAATAGGACGAATTGTAGTTGGTTTAACCACAGGGCTAAACGCTTCATGGTAATCGATGCCCGGACGTTGATGAA